TGGGCATTACAAATTTTGGAGCTACTTTGATGAGTATGATTGGCCCGTTAATTGTTGGAGTCATTGTGACRGACACGGTAAGTTCGTTAAACATAATAGACGCAAATATGATATTAACTCMTACGAATTATAGACAAACCCAAATCAGTGGCGCATAATATTTTACACTGTGGTATTTTCCTATTTTATTGGCAACTTATTGTTTGTAACTCTGGGTAGCACTAAAGTGCAACCATGGAACGAGCCGGTGAAACGGAACGCAAATCGTGAGCACAGCAAAGCAGCACTAATCTGCAACCTATCTAATCTAAACTTGWATTTAAATAGGTGTTCAACAAAGTGGTGAATGACGAAAGCATTAAGCAACCAAGGAGGTAATGCGACGTAAAATATCCGGGATGTCAAAGAAAAAGCTATTAGATAATAAAATAATTGTCCTGATAATTGTTATTTATTAACTAGTTTTAATACTTTGCAACCAGTTGTTACGGATTATAATTGTTTTGTTCATCGGTAGAAAGTTGCAGCTRTGGATAAAAATTCTGAGAGTGGCGGGCCACGCTACTACTACTAAAGCGAAAAAAACTAATTTTAACTAATTTTTCTGAGCGCAAATTTTTATAAATACTACTACCGAAAATGTGAAATTGGATGAAATCGGAAAATAAAAACGCTCACTTCCCATATAACAGTAATATTAAAACCTACCTAAAGCGCAATAATTCAATAACTAAATTCGTCAGAGACATTAAATTTTACCTCCGAGTTGGCATAATAGACACCGCCCACTTTTATTGGAATCACAAATCCCGCCACCCGACTAACCAATTTCGATTAAATTTAGTTCGTGGCATTCTTCTCATATTCCTATCTCACAGTGTGAAAATGGGCGAAATCCTACTTTCCAGTACACAAATCAAGCAGTAATTAATATAACGGAATAAAATATTGCACTAAGAATTGCTTTAAAGCATGTAATTTTATAACCAAAAGTTGCTCAAGAGCAATCAAAACTGTTCAAGCCCCTAGRTGCCAAATATGAAGGYCCCAGTATCTATAGTTGACTTCTTACCGAAATTATTCGGTCAATGTGTGAGATTTACAATTGAAATTGAGGAAGAATCCTTTCCTGACAATTGTTACTTTGTGTGTCGAAATTGTTTGAACCGTGTGAATACTTKCCTTAGCTCTCATATACCTAATATAAGTATTTCCGAAATTCTGKGTGACTATGCACTGCATATATTGKCCAATATTTAAGGTATCTAGTGAMTGATGSACAGAGCATACTAAAATAATGGAGGGAATACTTCTCCAAACTGCTGAAGGGCAGTGGAAGAAGGCGAACCCGATTCCCCAGTCGATGACGATGGGCCAGACTTTCCATCGTCCGACCATGAAGAAGTTCGAAGAGCAATTACCGGASTGACGAACAACAAAGCGCCGGTGGCCGAAGAATTGCCGGCTGAGCAATTCGAACCTGGCGGCAAACAGTTAATAAGGAGCATGCAACAGCTTATGGTCGGAAGAAAGCATGCCCAACGATTGGAATATAAGTGTGCTCTGCCCAATCCAAGGCAGATCCCACAATCTSCTCCAACTACCGGGGGATAAGCTCCGCAACATCGCATATAAGGTTCTAGCGAGCGTGTACAAAAAAACTCACCCTATAGACCACTCACACGTTTGGTTAAAAGGAAAAATGCACTGAATTCCAAAGAATCGTAATAAAACTGGTATTTCCTTAAAAATTCACTTAAAAGTTATTATTATAAAATGAATTGAGATGATGGAAATTACTAAAGAGTAGTTTTAAATGATGAAAGTTATTGTAACATGACTTTTATATAAATTGAAAAACTTTAAATATATAACTTTAATGCTGCGAAAAGCGGAGATGTTGTTTGGTCGACGTCGTAACGAAAAGAGGTGCGCGAGATCCTTTCTCTTTCCCTTTTGTTCTAATTAGAATGTAGAATGTCATCGTGTTTTGGTGCATGTGAGTGTGTGCGTGTTAATGTGTAATGTTCTCTCGCGTGATGAGATGAATGCGTGCTTTCGATTCGGTGTGATGAACTGATGTAAATCTGATGCGACGTCGCTACCCATTTAACCAGAGCGTATTGTGTGACTAATTAAAGCCCAACGTCAACAAATTKATTGGACCTTATCAGTGTGGCTTCAGACTTGGAAAATCTACAACTGACCATATATTCACCAGGCGCCAAATCTTGAAAAAGGCTCGTGAACAGAGGTTGACACACACCAACAGGTGCCACTTCGGACTAAGTAGGCATTTGAAAAGTAAAGTCTTCTCCCGACCAGCAAAAACCATATTCTACAAATCACTCATTATTCCCGTCTTGCTATGTGGTGCAGAGGCATGGAAGATGCCAACATCTGATGAGTCTCTCGTTCCCGGTATCTTGCGAC